TTTTATAGAGGGACTTCCTACTCCGGTTTAGGCCCGATCCCTGTTGGGTCGGGCCTAAACCGGCAGTCGGACATCCCCCAAGGGGTCCCAGATTTGGGAGGGTGCAGGCTGGGCTGAGGGATACCACCCCCATGCACAAATTTCATGCACCAGGCCACTAGTTTTTAATATGATTGTAAGCTTTTTTATAATAATATTTTTGTCAACTGCTTATAAAGTTCTTTTCCTCATATTTTGAATTGGGTTATCTGTCATTTTTTATTGATTTGCAAGAATCCTTACATATGTGTTATGACCCACACACAAACCATTTGTGGTATGAGTGTGTGGAGCCCAATCTTTCAGCCTTAGAAAAATCATTTAAAAGACTAGAAAATGATTAAATGTTTAAAATACAACCCCTTTATTTATTTTATTTTTTGTATAACAACAGGTCTGCAATACAACATGTTTGTAAGCTGAGAATTTTTCCTGTTATATTTGCCTACTTTGAATTATGTTGAATTGCACTTGGTTTCATTTAGAAATACCTGTTGTTGGCTCAATGGAGAAATATGGTTGGCCATGTAGTAACTCGTATATAAGACGAGCATTATTATTACATAAAGGATCATCAGCATCACTTGCTGTCACCTGGATGACGAATGTCCCTAAAGAGAAAGTAAAGACAAAAGTTAGTACAATGATGATATACAACACAAGACCAGTCTACATCCTTGTTCTGAATTTCAAAACCATGTATAATTTCTATATAGACAAGAGGCTATAACCTCATACGATGTAGAATTTTAAATATCTATGTCTATGACATAATTAAATGTAATTGTTGAACAATCCATTATACTGTGTGATTCAGGATTTTCAAAGGTGTGTTACTAGCAGAGAAATAAAACAAAATTGGAAACACTTTCCTTCAAAAATCATGGTGTGATCAGCACCTCCAAAATTGGAGAATATTGATGAAATTTTAATAAATATTATTTAAGTAAGCTGGAAATAGTATCAAGTTAAGAACAGGTATAACTATTTTGCCTGTTTAATTTTCTTCTATAAACTCCCTACTTGTTTAAAGAACTTTTGTTTTTAATGCAAAGCAAAATCTACCAGATACTGATAAGTAAGCATTATCATTAAATCCAGTAGTAATTAATAGAAATATGAAAAATAAGTACTTGTATATTTAAAATTAATGCTCAACTTAAATTTCTTGGAATCTAGCATTATGGGTCTTTTTGAAAAATTTCATTTATTGATTCATAATGTTCTATGTCAGTAAGAATGTTAACACAAATAGCACAAAGTCAAGTTGCCTATGTGATTTTTTTTGCAACTAGCATCCTGTATTTTTAGTTTTCTAATTTTATAAACTGAGAAACTGTAATAGAAAGCCCTTCTATTCTTCAGTAATAAAACTTTTGAAACTTTACCATATTCCTTAATTATATGTAACTGAAGGCCAAGTGCAAGGGGGAGGGGGGCATGACCTGTGGGAATTGGCCCACTGTGGGAGCGCTGCTCATCCCAGTCAGGCTAGCAGTGCTCCCACTGTGGGAGTGCACTGACCACCAGTGGGTAGCTCCTGTGTTGAGTGTCTGCCCCTTGGTGGTTAGTGTGCATCATAGCGACTGGTTGACCAGTTGTTCTTGTCGCTCCACTGTTTGGCTGCTGGGCTTTTATATAGAGAGAGATGTTTGCTGTTTTGTCTTAGTATTTTGATGTTAGTTATTTAACACTTGTTTTAGATGGTTCAAGTACTCAAAATGTACACACGTTTGTTTCAAGTGTTTTATTTTTTTTTAAATATATTTTTTATTGATTTCAGAGAGGAAGGGAAAGGGAGAGAGAGATAGAAACATCAATGATGAGTCATTGATTGTCTGCCTCCTGCATGCTCCCTACTGGGGTCGAGCCCACAACCCAGGCATGCACCCTTGACCAGAATCGAATCCGGGACCCTTCAGTCTGCAAGCCAATGCTCTACCCACTGAGCCAAACCAGCTAACGTTGTTTCAAGTGTTTTAAAACTTATTTCTGCCACTTGTGACACTATGGATGGATCTTAAGAGCATTAAAATAAGTTAAGTCAGACAAAGACAGACAAATACCACTTAATATCATATGTGAAATATAAAAAAACTGAACTCATAAAAACAGAGGGTAGATTGCTGGTTACCAGGGACTGTGGGTGGGGAAATTGGGGAGCTATTGATCAAAGGATACAAAATTGCATTTAAAACATAAATTCTGTAGAAATGCACAACATAGTGATTATCATCAAATATATTTTTTATAAACTTCAAAGCTGCTGAGAAACTAAATCTTATAGGTCTCACTACTAAAAGAAATGATAATTATGTGACGTGATGGAGATGTTAGCTAGTGCTACAGTGGTAAGCATAATGCAATATATAAATGTATCAAATCAATACATCATACATCTTAACTTTACACAATGTAATATTAAAATTATATCTAAATAAATAAATAATAAATAAATAAATTATTGTAGTGCTTGTGAAGTTATTTCAACAAAAGCTTTCTTAGGAACCACCAATTCAACCAGTTTTTATTGGGCAAGATGTTCTTTTAACTACTCTTTTTTTGACACATCCATTTACTTCTCCTGCAGCTTCTCATTTTTTCCATTTCATTTCTTTCCATGGGAGTTTTCTGACCCTAGGTTGCAGAACTAGACTATCTGTATTTAGCTTCAGAAATAATAGTCAAAATCATGGTATGGTTAGTTGTTGACCAAAAGAAATTCTTTGTATTAAAGCCTTAGATTTTCTAACACATGATTATTTCTCATACCCCATGGAAGAAGCTACAAGTAAAAAGGAGATATCTACAAAATTCACTCTAGTTTATTGCAGTGCACCTACTATTAATATTATTTAAAAAAAATTAAAGCAGGTAAACTTTGGGTGGTAAACACACAATGCAATATACAAATGATGTATCATAGAATTATACAAGTGAAACCTATATATTCCTATTAACCAATGTCACCCAAATAAATTTAATTAAAATGGTGAAAAAATAAATAAAAATAAAAAATTTGGGAGAAACGTTTCCAGGAAAATTCCTGAAATAAAATAGGGTGAAGCAGAGCTGTTCTGGGTAAAACTGGACATAGAATTACCCTACTTCAGAACACCTGTGACAATATAAAATGACCCTGGGATTATGTATAAAGGAAAGCGACAATTCCCCAGAATAGATATGTGCATATTAAATTGCCTCACCCTTAACACATACTATTCCATCTTAAGACTCCATCCTATGATTAGAATTAAATATTAAAAGTTTAGGCTAGAAAACTGTGGTACATCTACACAATGGAATACTATGCTGCTGTAAATCTACACAATGGAATACTATGCTGCTTTAAAAAAGAAGGAATTCTTACCATTTGCAACAGCATGGATGGAACTGGAGAGCATTATGCTAAGTGAAGTAAGCCAGTCAATAAAGGAAAATACCACATGATCTCACTCATTTATGGATAATAACGACCATTATAAACTGATTAATAAAAATAGATACAGAGGCAGAGCAGCATCAAACAGACTGTCAAACTACAGTGGGAAGGTGGTGATGGGGGGTAATAGATCAACCCAAGGACTTGTATGCATGCATATAAGCATAACCAATGGACACAAGACACTGGGGGGTAGGGGAGGCCAGGGGAAGGTCAAGGGGAGAAAAAAAAGGAGACATATGTAATACTCTTTATAATACTTTAAGCAATAAAACAAAATTTTTTTTAAAAAGTTTAGGTTGGCTAAATCCTTGAAATCGAGTTAGAAATGAATGCAAACCAGTCTTCTCTTGGGAACTGAGGGTGCCTAGGTCAGCATGAATTTTTGAATGGAGTCACATTCACTTGATCAGCTATATCATTGTAAGAGCAAACAATTGCATTTGCTGTCTAAAGATTTTCTTAAATCCTTTTTTTTATCTATTCGTTTTAGTGAACAAAGGTTTAAATACAATAATTATTCTCTCAGAATCATACAAATATTCAATAGAATAATTCTGGGTTCTATTATCACTTTGACAGTTGCTATTGTCTGCCAATATCACCCTTGAGAGACTTTTTCAAAAATGCAAATTTAAAATCAGTTTTACTTTTCCAGCTAGCTTCTGTATCTTCAGAACTATTATTTTTTTGCAAAACAACTTTATGATAATAAATTTAAGAGATATTTGACTTCGCCTATTTTTCATAGACTTTATTGCAAAAATGTATTGTTATGTATGTTACCCAAGATGTAAACTTGTACCAGTGCTTGAGAGAAAAATTATAGTTTAGTACTCTCAGAATCTTCATTTGCTGACATATTTTTTTATTTGTTATAACACAGATAGAAAATTATAATGAAGTAATGGTATGTCAATATAAAGTATTTATTATTTGTGAGTAATTACATATAAATTATGCTTTGTGTGATAATGGTAATAAATGCTAAACCTTTTTGAAGATTGCAAGCATTATTGATAGCGTCAATTATATTCCCAACACTTTAGACTTATTTATCTTTAAGAGTAAATGTAACTAATGTAAGAATAATGTAACTCTGTCAATGTTGATTTATATGGACTTTAGTATAGACCAGCAGTATAACAAAGGACTAAATGATTCTCACCCAAATGTTGTTGAATATTTGTTAACAGAACTGTATTAGATGGTGATGTCTCATATTTCACACAGAATGCTTCATCTTCTAGTGATTATGGGAGGCATTCAAACATAAAAATGGAAAAGAGTGATAAATTTTGATATGCAGACTAGTTTAGACATCATGTAAGCAATAGAGAAGTCAGCTATCTGTGGCTAGAAAATTAAGAAGTAAAGTTTGGATTTATAGAATACTAAACAAACAGCACACTATAGTTTAATATGGGGCTTGAATGCCAAGATTTGAACTGTAGATTTCAAAATGGCTCATTTATTTTTATATGCAATGTTTTTGTTTTAAACTCAGTGGTAAAAATAATAACAGCCTTTTCTTAGAATGAAGTTATAAATTGTTTAGCAGGAAAGGTATTTTCACTTGCATTTTTAGTACAGGTACACTTTGATTAATCTGAAACAAATTTATTGAGAGGATATTGACTTGTATAATGGTCAAATTTAAAGTAGCACAAATTAAACAATAGTATTTTGACATACAGTCTGAATCTGTGAGTTTTGGCAATAACAAAAATAGATATAAGATATTCGATGATCTAGTAAAAATGTAATTTTCAGAAATTAAATCCATGATGGAAATGGTGGTTTAATCCATGCATCTGCTCACTCCTTCATACTGAGAACTTATTTTATCAGTGCAATAATTATTAGTTATTTACAAGTATTAATTGGCCCATCCTTACTGTGAGTATACTTGAGATGCAATTACTTTACAGCTTAAAATCTCCAGATGACACTCAAGAAAGAGATGGCATTTCCCTCTTGTCCATGCACTCATTCACTTAATCATCCCAAACCTCAGGTACTGTTTTACTCTTGGCCTATTAGATCTTATATTTTTGTGTGGAAGAAATATACTATTTGCAAACCCAGACTAATGAGTGAGGAAACAGAATGTTTTATCATAGTTCCACCTGATAGTTCTAGTTTAAAAGTATTGCATTTCAAAGGTAAATGTAATCAGTACAAACCTATCATTACTTGTAAATGAATATTACTTGTAAATAAATATTACTTGTTAAATAAGCAATGCATGGTTTAAAATTTTCTTGGTTTTCTCTTTTCATGATCCTCAAATGTAGATTCCTTTTAATAGTCTACCAAGTTCTAAGTTTAAAGAACAGGTTTAAATATAATACTTAGTAGTAGACTCTAATACAACACAAATCTACTTAAGAAAGACAATAGAGAATAAAATTTTTCACTGGTTGCTTTATAAAAGATAAAATGGGGAATTTGAAAGCAAATTAACACTCAAGGACCTGTTAAATGGCAATGCATATGGAGAAGAGATAAAGAATTAAAGATACATTCAAATAAAATAAGGTCCACACTATCTATTAATTAAATATTGAGACTGAGGGAAACAGAAAAAATACATATAATATAACCAGTTCCTTCACAGCAAATTTAATAACTGTAAGCATTTTTTCAGAGGGAGACCATCTACAAAATGATTGATAGAGCAATGGGAGTGTTCCACTATTTCCATATTAGAAAGTATTTCTGGTTGCAGCTGCCCATCATGCTATTGACCCCTTCCATCGCTGGACAGATACGAAAAGTGCTCATTGCTTTTGGTATGATTCCATACAAAGCCTGGACCCTGGATTTACTTGTAAAGAAATATTTATTCGTACTTCCACAGACTACATTAAATTACATAGACTGACTAGGTTAATATGTACTGGGACCTCTAATTGCAACGTGTAAGTGGCCAAATATCGTACAGACCAAACCGATGTTTTGTGATCTCCATCAAATCAACCACAGCATGGCTACACGTGGTGCCATGATACAAATACTGTATTGTACACACTGGAATCTCATTGTGGGCTCACTCTCCAACTCTATAAAATGCCCATTATGTACCTCCTCTCTCTAAAATTCCTCCCCTCTGCTCTCAATTACTGCCTTTGCCTCAGGCATCACTGATTAAATAGAAATAATCATGTGTTACCTGGTTTGTTAACAATCAATATGTTAACCTACCTGGATCTGTCCCCTCTATTATTCCTTTAGATTTCATCACTCTTTCTCTTCTCAAAAATAGTTTTCTAGCAGTCACATCCCTTTTATTTTGCTTCAAAATACTCTTCTTTTGCATCATTTCCTATAGTATACAACTATGCTATTAAATATCCCATCTTAATAAATAAACAATAATTTTTTTTAAAATTGCCTTTACATTTCACATCCCTCTCTCTCCTGCCTCACATCTCTATTTTTTCCTTGCATAGCACTTTTAAAGAGGCTAAATTAACTGTCAATCACCTTTTCTCCTACCATTCATGCAATAGAATAATTTCCAACATAATGTAGTGACACAAATTCAACCAAATTACTCTTACTGAAAATACTAGGGGCCTTCAACTTGCTAAATCAAAATCAGGGCTATCTTGATTTTATTCAACCTCACAGCAGCATTCCACATAGTTGAAGGATCTCTTCCATTGCAACATCTCATCTCATCTTTCTCTTCTTCCTATATCAATGGCCAATCCCATTCATACTAATTTACCAGTCAACTCCCATTTGCTTAACAATCGATTTACCAGGTATGTTTTTCTCATCTCTACCTGTATTGTCTACTAAGAGGATCTCATATAGTGCCATGACCTACATGCTCACTACAGTGGGGCCTTGACTTACGAGTTTAATTCGTTCCGTGACGGTGCTCATAACTCAAATTACTTGTATGTCAAATCACTGTGATGTTCGCTGTGCCAACTAGTGGTGGGGTATCTGAAGCTGGCTCGTAACCTGAATTTTTTTGAGCTTGCAACTCAAAGCAAAAAATCGGTCGAGAGATGGCTCATATCTCAAAAAAACTCATTAGTCAGGACACTCGTAAGTCAAGGCCGCACTGAATAGGCCAATAACTTTCATACTTATAATGCAATCTTCATAACACTGCTTTTCCTAGAACATGGGATGGCTGTCCTCTGTATCATTCCCTTCAAATTTCACCTACTAACATGTCCCCACTTCCTTCAATCAATTAATCATCAGCATACTTTTCCCATACTGAACACTTTCATAGCATACAGTATCAAATATTATCTTTTTTATTTAAAATAGGTATTGTTTGTATTATAACTAAAACATAAGTTTCATACTGGTGATTACTAGTAACTCTATATATCTCTTTCACAATCGAATCCGCAGTTTCAAAGGAAAGTTCCTAGAACATGTTAAATTTATAATATGTGCTTATTGAAGAAGAAGGATGAGGTGAGTAGAGAAGAGAAAGAGAAGGAGAAAAAGAAGGAGGAGAAGGAGGAGGAGGAGGAGGAGGAGGATCGAGGGGGAATAAATAATGTTTCATTGCCTAGCTACCAAATGGAACAATATTAATATGTCCTTTAAACCTAATAATAATTGGTTGTAATACATATTATACAATTAAAGTTATTTATGCTTTAATTAAAGATCTATGTTCTGAATACATGTAGAAAGAGGTCTTTAAATTGCTACCTGGAAGGTTAAAAAACAAAGAAATCAGGAAAATGTACAATGGAATATACATTTTTATACTCACTGGCTAATGAATCAAGTGTTAAGGTAAAACAGTTTTTGAGCATGGAAGCAAAATTTAAAATGATCATTATTAAATCACATTTAAGTTTATCATGTTAGTAAATTATATACATTTAATTTAATTACATATTGTGTTATCAAAATTATCTTGATGGGGGTGGGGCTGGCCAGTCTGGATCTCACCCATGGGGGTGGGGCTGGCCGGGTCTGTGTCTTGTGTAATTTCGAGGCTCACATGGGTGGCCAGGGACTTGATTCTGGTTCCCATGGTGTGCCCCAGACTCTGACATGGGGAAGATTTTCATATATATTTTACTAATTTTCTTTCATCTTTGACACTTTTATTATAGAGAAATGGCAAATAGCAATATTAAAATATATCCTCCAATTAGTCCTTTTTAATGTGCATGAATTTTATGCACCGGGTCACTAGTTTCAAATATTTTACTTAACATGCTTGTAAAAGGAAGTACAAATGTAGAACTTTCAAATAATTCACTTCCAATTCATATGCTCAACATCTCAAACTTGTTTACATTGCTAATATATGTTTGATGTCGATTAATACGTAATACCTTCTGGAGACATCTCTGGTACAACAGCCGCATAAGGTTCATGTAGGAATTTTGGTGCATTGTCATTGATATCTGTAACTTTGACAACAAAGTCAGATTCAGGTTCCACAGCCTTTCCAGTAGTTCTGTCTATTAAATGGGCTTTTAGATTGTAGAAGGCCTGTTTTTCTCTATCCAGCTTCTGTGCCACAGATAAGACACCTGTTGTTTCATCAACGAAAAAAATACTTTCGGCTCCATCTCCTGAAATCCTGTACTTCAAAGACTTGGATCCATTGTGCATATTTGAGCTCAGCTGCAAGTGCAAAGAGTGGTCATTTAGTTTCCATAGGTGTCGAAATGGGCAAGTCAATTATAATGGTTTTATTTTCTAGTCTTCTTATTATTCCCCAAGTTAATAATTCCATACAACTCCCATATAATATTTAAAAAGGTATAATATTAACTTTAACATTAAATTCTATCTCCACATATATTCTACTCAATTACCAAATGTACCTGTTCTCTTTGCGCTCTCATTATTTTTATATTTTAAAAGCAAAGTAAATCTGTTTATCTTTGTGTTAATGTAAATTTGAATTTCAGATATAAAAAAGTGTTATTATGATATAGAGAACATTGGTTGTATTTTTTTATATCTAAATTACTTTTACACAAAGAGGAAAACCTGCCATAAGCTCCTAATCATTGTGAACCCATGATCTTCTTGTTTCATCACTTATGAATATGCCCTTCTTCAAAGTAAGAGCTTCTCTGAAATTTTACAAAGTGAACCAAGAAATAAAATCTTAAATTCATAACTTTCTGATAGCTCAAGATATAATGTATTATTCCTGGCTAATTAATAAATTGTTCTATATGCTTGGGGGAGAATATCTGAATATATCTAAAACAACTAATTTTAATAACACATTGAGTATCACTGCCATACAATAAAAGAAATTGGTACTACTAATAAAAAGCTAATGAAAAAGTTCTAGCTATCTTAATTTGACAATTCATTATCATAAAATAAAGTCTTCATGACCTAATAATAAGAAATTAAGGTAAACAAATGTCCTTCATCATTTTGATGTAGGTTGAAAATTTGATTCAATATTGGAATGAAAATAAGTCAAGTTTAGTAATGTATACATGCTTTTCAAGTACATTGATAGACTAATTTCCATAAATCAGTGAGCTTGGTTTTTATAAGAACCCAGATTTAAGTTAAAAAAATATTTTCTCAAACATCTTCTTCTTAATGTCATAAGATGCATCAGTTACACACATTTCAATTTCATGGATTCAGGTATTATTAAATTTCTATATCCCCATTCAAAAATATTTTCTCAATCATGCAGTTATTATCAATTTGGCAAATCAACATGACTTTAAATTTTTACTTAATTGTGCTCTCCAAACTTAATCACTTTTTAAAAATAGGTCAAAAAGAAAGTTATCTTGGACACCTCAGCTACATTTTATTTTTACTAGCTATTTACTTACAAGCACCTAAACATTCATTATTACTTTCTTTTAAACAAGTTATCTATATATTATTATTTAAGCCTAATGAAGTTGATTAGAGGGGAAATTACCGCATTTTCATAAATATGTTTACAGAATGCAAAAATAGGCAAAGCCAGGGAGGAGAAAAATAAAAAACAAACAAACTAGAAAATGTGGCAATGAGCCAGGGAGGTAGTCTGTCTGGACTGCACTGATGCAATGAGCCAGGGAGGTAGTCTGTCTGGACTGCACTGATGCACTTCCCTGTAGAACCTTACTCACTAAAAGCCACACGCCCCTGTTGGCCTGTCATTCTTTCAATGAATGGAGAGCATATGGAGTTCTGTGGAGTCCACTGTAAATGTGGTTAGAGAGACTCAGTTAAGTAGCAGACACTTAACTACAGACCTCCTTTATGGTATTCTGCCTGTGATTTACCTGCAGTCATCTTACAAAATGAAAAGGGAGGAGAAATATTACTTTCAGGACATGTGTGCATGCAGTTTGAATATGTGCCTAAGACCAGGTCTAAGCTTTTGGTTGAATGTACCCATATACATTTGGACAATGGAATAGATGAGCTCCTATGGAATCTGGACATCAGGCTAACACTGCAGTTCTCCTGAAAGGGCTAGAAAAAAGAGTTAATGAATTCTGAGTGCTTCACCCTTTGGGCCCAATTAAATTTTAGTGCCAGTTAATTAGCAGTTAAACTTACTTCAGTTCATTCATCTATAGAAAGAGCTTTACAGAACAGGACTTGATATTGTAATTACCTCTATTTAAAGAAAATCAAAGAATAATAAAAGCCAAAAGTATAAATAGGAAATGTTCTTTCTCATTAAGGAAATTCTCTTACAATATATTCTTATAAGAAAGTGAAAATAATAATTCTTTGTATTTCAACTTCACTAATCAAATGAATATGTAGGCTCTTGAAGCTACTCAACTGTAAAAGAATTTGGTATTAACCTGCTTCATTAAAAATTAATGAGGTGTATATCAACACCTGCTTAGCATAATAGAAAATCAGGCTAAATACTGTTGGTAACTTTATTGTTCTCAGTGTAGTTGCTTTGATCCATTACCAAAAATAACACCATCAAACTTCCAGATGTGGATAATGAGGGCTGTGTTTTTACATGGGAGACTAAAGTGAAATGGGAATACTAGAGCTTTCCCTCTTCTGCAAGCTTTTGTGGTTACTCTAGGTGCTAACAAACCTGAAGCAATTAATTATGCTGGTATTTGAAGTTTTCTAATGGTTCTACAGAGAAAATTTAGAATTCATCTAATACCAAAACTTTCAACTCATTTATTTAGATTTATACAACATTATTTCCTGTAACATTTTCAGAAAATACGTACCCGGCCAATGATCTTTCTAGTGATATTCATTTCCTCTTCTACAAAATACTGGTTCCAAATCCAGCCACTCTTCGGTCTCAGATGAGACCCTTCTGGGTGCTTCGCTTCCTCTGTTTTAGAGTTTTCTGTTGCTGTAAGGCAAGGCCATAGGAGGGGAATTCCCAACATCAAATGTAGGAATAAGCAACAATTCATTCTGCTCGTTTGATGCCAGCTGATGGATACTCTTTAGAAGAAACTATACGTTGCAAATGAAAATCTTAGGTTCCTTTATAATCTTTTTAAAACTCTGAAGTATCTTTCACATTCCTAAAGAACAAAACACAAAAACAAAATTTGCCATTTTAAAAATAACACTTTCTCACATAATTGCTAATGTAAGGATACAACTTTTGCATTCATAAAATGCAAATGAGACAAAAATACATATTTAATTTCTGTTTTGATTAAGCCCGTTAATTATATTTTGTAGCTCAGCGATACCTTGAATGTCATTATGGTACATTTCTGCTCAGGCATGGTGCAGCTTAAGCTGTAGTCAAATCTGCCTGAAGGTTGGAAAGTTGCTCTGGAGTCTCCTTGATTGATAGCTAACATTCAGATAGACTTTAAACAAAATTATCAGGATAATATTGATTAATAGGATCATATAGGTTTCAGGAGCAGATTTCTATGATACACTAGTAAGATTTGTATGTTGCACTGTGTGCTCACCACCTAAAGTCAAATCTTATGTCACCATATTTTAGGCCCCCTTTACCCCACCACCTTCCTTCTGGCAACCACCACACTGCCTTTTGTGCCCACGAGTTTCAGTTTTATATCCCACACTAGGGGCCCAGTGCACTAATTTGTGCACCTTGAAAGGAACTGTGGGCTTTGAGGCTGCAGTGGGCACAGGGGTGGGTCTTGGCCCATCCTCCGTGCCCCCACCTGGTCCCTCTCACCACCACCCTCGGTCTGCCAGCAGCTCCACTCTCGCTGCTGCCACTACCATGTGCTGACAGTGCCGGCCATGCTCGCACCCGCTAATGGCGCGATTGGGGCCAGTGCCAGCAGCAGGTGCAATTAGGGCTGGTGCCGTCAGCTGATGCAAGCAGTGACTGCTGCCCTGATCGCCCCTAAGAAGTAGGGGGAGGTGTAGAAGCCCTTGGGGCGATCGGGGCTGACAGCCACTGCTTGCACCCGCTGATGGCACTGAGCAATCAGGACCAGTGCCAGGCGCTGGCAGCAGGTGTGAGTGACAGCTCCAATGCCGACTGTGGGTGCAAGCGGGGCTGGCCTGGTGACAGGTGAGAGAGCCTGGTGGGACTGCGGCATGCAGGAGCAAAAAATTTTCAGTAACCAATGGAGGCTTTCCCCGATGACAGTGACTGGCGCCCTGACTTGGTCTGGCGCCCTCGCTCACCTGCTCCACCATCCCTTCATGGCCAATGCCCGCCATGTTCTGTGCACACCCCCGGTGGTCAGCACACATCATAGCAACCAGTTGTTCAGTTGTTCGGTTGTTCCGCCATTCGGTCTATTTGCATATTAGGATTTTATATATATAAGATGTGAAATCATATGGTTCTTAGAATTTTTTTGACTGGCTTATTTTACTTAGCATAATATTCTCAAGTTCCATCCATGTTGTCACAAATTGAAGTATTTCATTTTTTCTTATGGCTCAGTAATATTCTACATCTTCTTTATTCAATCCTCTATCACAGGACACTTTTGTTGTCTCCATGTCTTGGCCACCATGAATAATGCTGCAATGAATATAGGAGTACGTATATATTTGCAAATACATGTTTTTGAGCTTTTTGGGTATATATACAGGAGAGGGATTGCTGGGTCATATGGTAACTCTATTCTTAATTTTTTGAGAAATCGTCAGACTGTTTTCCATAGTGGCTGGATCAGTCTACATTCCCATCAGCAGTGAATGAGGGTTCCCTTTTCTCCACAACCTCTCAACACTTGTTAATACTTGTTAATAAAACCATTCTAAGAGGTGTGAGGCAGTATTTCACTGTAGTTTCCATTTGCATTCCCTTAATTTCTAGTGAGGTTGCACATCTTTTCATAGATCTGTTGGCCATTTGTATGTCTTCTTGGAGAGGTGTCTGTCTGGGACTCCTGCACAGTTTTTAATTGGATTGTTTGTTTGGCATTGAGTTTTATGAGTTTTTATACATATTGGATATTAAACCACTGTCGGAACTATTGTTTGCAAATATCATCTCCATTTGGTCTGCTGCCTATTTGTTTGGCTGCTGTGCAGAGGCTTTTTAGTTTAATATAGTCCCATTCATTTATTTTTACCTTTACCTCCGCTGCCTATGGGGTCAAATTCATAAAATGTTATCTATGAACAATTCCATAAATTTAGTACCTATGTTTTTTTTTCTATGTAATTTATTGTTTCAGATCTTATATTTAGGTCTTTGATCCATTTTGAATTAATTTTTTACATGTTGGAATTTGCACACACAAAAAATAGAAACCTATGAATAAACTTAAAGAATCTGAAAGACCTATATACTAAAAACTGCAAAACAGTATTAAAAGAGATTGAAAAAGACACAACAAAATGGAAAAATATCCCGTGTTCTTGCATTAGAAGAATCAACATAGTTAAAATGGCCATATAACTCAAAGCAATATTCATATTTAATGCAATCCCCATCAAAATCCCAATGTCATTTTTAAAATAAATAGAACAGAAAAATCATCATATTTGTATGGAACCTCAAAAGACCCCAAATAGCCAAAGCAATCCTAAGGAAAAAAAGAATGAAGCAGGAGGTATTACACTACCTGACTTCAAATTATACTACAGAGCTACTGTAATCAAAGTAGTATGCTATCAGCAGAAAAACAGACATGTAGATCATGGAACAGAATTGAGAGCCCAGATGTAAAACTACATGTATATGGGCAGATAATTTTCAACAAAGGAGCCAGAAACAAACAATAGAGTAAATAAAGCCCCTTCAATAAATGGTGCTGGGCAAATTGGAAAGCCACATGCAAAAATAAAAAAATGAAACTAGATTTTTTTTAACCTGCTTACTTCTTCCATTTTATCTAGTAAAAACACTATCCCATTAAAGCAACAGCGAGGAAAAATATGATATTTCTACTCTTTTTCAATAAAAATATGTTTTCTCATACAATCTTCAAAAACTATGGTTTTATGTAGTATTAAATAAGCAAACTGGTAATTCACCTTAAAACCCAGGGGGCTTAATAATTACTTATACTGATGTTATAAAACACTCTGAGAATAGAACGTTTGTGCAAGATATTTCCCATTTTGTACTATGAAATAGAGGAAATGGAATGTTTTTTATCTTAACAATAAAGAATGCAGGTTTTTGCCCTAGCTGGTTTGGCTCAGTGGATAGTGTCGGCCTGCAGACTGAAGGGTCCCTGGTTTGATTCTGGTTAAGGCACATGCCTGGGTTGCGGGCAAGATTCCAAGTAGGGGGCGTGCAAGAGGCAGCCAATCAATGATTCTCTCTCATCATTGATGTTTCTATCTCTCTCTACCTCTCCCTTCCTCTCTGAAATCAATAAAAATATTTTTTTAAAAAAGAATGCAGGTTTTAGAAAATAAATACAAAATTATAGTGACTGGGTAAAAATGACTGAATGTTTTTAATATGTAAGACAAAGTTGAAAGGTATCTTCTAGTTATAAATATTAAAACAAAAAAAACCCCTCAAACTGTGTAGTTTTCTATTTAAAGTTTTCCATTTACCTGAGATTGATTACACACACACACACACACACACAAACACACACACACACACACACAGGTGTGTGTGTGTGTGTGTGTGAAAAATCACATTTTCAAAAATGGGGATGGTGTGGTCCCTCTGCAGTTCCCTTTAAGCCAATGTATTTGTTATAAGTTTACTTAACAAAAGTCATGAAGAATCCAGCTGAGATGGAAATTAAAGATAAATTCCACCCTTATTATTTGAGATTCAAGTAATGTCTGTTGTTTAGAAATTGTTAAATATGTATATTTAATATCTAGTGAATAATTAAAACATTTGGAACATTTAGTTTTCTTTATGAGAATGTATTTTGCATACATTTGGAAAATTATCACTAACAGTAACTTTAAGTAAACTTATAATGTTAGATGAATGACATTCTTATTAACTTTATATTAAGATATTTTCATACATCTAGAAATAGAGAAAATAGTACAATGAACACCTAGAAACCATTACTTAGATTCAAAATGATCAAGGCTGGACAATCTTATTCCATCTATGTACATATCCACTTTCAGATGTTAAAACAAATTTAAAATGTTATAGTATATTAACTATTCATTACACATTTGGGCACAAATGCTACATATCTGGTGCAATTTATCCTTCTAAAATAAAAATTGAATACTAAAAATTGAGAATAAGTCTTTAATATAATCAAATATTCAACCAGTGTTCAAATTAAAATACTTCTTACTTAGGATTCAAAGATGTCTACAGAATGCAGTTTGTTAATATATTTCTTTGGTCTCATTTAGTCCATAGGTTTCATCAGTTTAAATTTAATTTTCCTTTTCACTTATGTGTTGGACAAGCAAGATGGAGTTTCCTAAAATATTACTTAATATGTTTATTTTCTATAAATCAGTAGAGGTTTGATTAGATGCAATTTTAAATATTTGTCAAAAATACTCAGAGCTGTTACTCGGTACTTCCTATTGCATGATTGTCTGGAGGCATAAAATACCTAGTTTTTTCACATTTTGTTTTCAGGGTTAAAGTTGTTCCTGTTTCCAGATTCATTTGTTGGTTGGATCATTTATTATGAATTTCCTAGTTACCATTTGTTTTAAAGTATTACCAATTATTGATTATTGCTTAAATTGACTATGTCAGTGACCAGATGGTGAAGCACAACTGAGAAATAGAAATTCAAAAAGCACCAAAAGAAACTCCTACACAAATTAATATTTGGAGTAAAAACAAAATTCACAGGATGGTTTTATTAAAAGATGAAACATTACAGAAGATAATACATTGGTTTTGAAGATTGTTTCATAGAAATTATTAAAATTACAGTACAAAGATAAAGTACAATAGTAAAAGTAATTCTTAAAATTAAAAAAAAATTTGTAACTGGGGAACAATCTTAAGTGGTATTATAAATATGTCATTTGAGTCCTAAAAAGGAAGAGAGATATTGGCTTAAGAAATGATAATGGCCAAGTGTAAAGAGCAAATAATAAAATTTCACCAGAAAAATAAAACGGTAAGAATATCTAATAAATGTTCATCAGAAATAATGTAAGACTG